GAGCTATTAAGATGCTTAAGCAAAAAAAATATGGGCTAATGGATGAACTTCAAGGAGATAAAGCAATATCATATTTCTGACAGCTAAGAAAAAATTTTCATATACTTAAGTCATTGAATATTTTGTCATTGGATATTTTAAAATCATTATATAGTGTGAGTTTTATTTGATGTCAATGTTCATCATATATACTTAAAATTGGATCCATTTGCTACTTTACATATCAACTAAAAGCTTATATTTTGAAAATTATTAGATAAAATACTGACACAAAATCTCTGAATACCACTGGTTTGAACCAACTTAAGAAGAACAGATGTGTCCTAAAGGAAGAGAAGGCAGTATTCTCAAATAAAGAGGGAGGAAGTAGTCAGTCCTGGAGAAAAGCTTTCATGGAAGTTAACTCTGAGGTGATGTCCTGAGGGCTGGATGCCTACTCACCCGAACTATGTGAATCTGGCCAGAGCACCGATGTGGTTCTACAACAGGATCACTTCACAGGTATCCAGCTGGACACTGGCTCAGACAGGTCATTTGCTTTGCATAATGCTCTGTTATCAATGTAAGAAATTCTTAACAGTTTTACCTTTGAACACACATTTTGTATGTGAAGTAAAGTGGCCTGATGGTGTGTGTACATGTCTGGTGCCACTATGTGCTGTACTACTGTCATAAATGGTGTCCCTTGTAGTGGCTCCACAATATATGAGGTACTAAGAAGACTCATAGAACAGAAGCAGAGACAAAAAGGAGACAAAGAAGAAAGTAAAAAATTGGAATGGAAAATAAAACAGACATGAGATATTCAATTTACACTTTGCTTGAAAAGTGACTCAAAAAATTTCCTTGGGGCTGGTGAGATGGCTCAGTGGTCTAAAGCACCTACTTAGAGCAAGTTTAGCAAAGCACAGGGACCACAGTTCAATCCCCCAGCACCACATGCCAGCCAGCCCCGCCCCTGGTGGGCTGAGCTGGCCACACACACATACACAAATAAAATAAAAATTAAAAAAAATAAAAGCTGTCACTGTAATTATTTTTAAAAAAATTTCCTTGGTCATTTCTTCATTTATTGACTAGTCATTTTCTTTATTTCCCTCAACAGCTGCACCACTGATCGAATCCCTAGAGGCAGGAGGCTACAGCAGGGCACTTTTCACACCTGGGTGTCACAGGTACAGCCAATAAATAACCTCACTGGCCAATCCCTGCTGAAATATAGAGATGAGCCGAAGATATTCAGAAAACTAAAAAAGGAGCAGACAATTCAACACAAATTACAAAGTTAGTCCTTCCTCTCTCTCTCATACCAAACCCATATGAACTTGTAAAGGAACACAGCTTTTACTTTCCACAACAAAACTTTATTTTCAAGGGCACACCTGATGCCCAAGTTACTGAATTCCTTTCTCTAGACACCTTACAGTATACTTTTACTCAGAGCTCCAAACGCAGCATCTTCCACATGAAAATGCATGACCCTCCCACAGGTAAGTTCCTGAAATCAGATTCCCAATGACTGTTCAGGGAACAAATTCAGGGCTAAGTTATTGTAATTAGGTCTAGGTCTGGCAATGAGATTTTAAAAATCCTGTCATCCTGGTGACTCAGAGCCATGAAGGAAGGTGCCCCATCATGAAACAAAGTGATACTGCAGCTCAGCTATTTTTCCCAAATGGGTAAAAGTAAAACTTGATCTTAGCCCAATCTTTCTGATCCTCATGACCATAGCAGCTTACAGAGAGAAGATGCCTTACAACATCCATCTGAAATCTTCCACAGCAGGAGAGATGAGCAAGCAAGGGAAAGATAAGATGTACAGACTCCAACTCTCTGGACTCTTATCATCCAAGCTTTTGTCCCTAGTGTCACCGGTCAGTATAAAAGCTGGGCCCCAAATCATCTTGTGTCACCACAGAAAATCTCAATGCAAATAAGAGGGTCTCTTGGTTCTCTTTATCTCTTTGGAATTTGGGCAATAAATCAAGTTATTTTAGCATGAGTAGTAAATACAATGGTTTATTTTATTTTATTTTAATTTTTATTTGTGTGTGTGTGTGTGTGTGTGTGTGTGTGTCCAGCTCAGCCCACCAGGGGCGGGGCTGGCTGGCATGTGGTGCTGGGGGATTGAACCGTGGTCCCCGTGCTTTGTTTAGCTTAGCTTGTTCTAAGTAGGTGCTTTAGACCACTGAGCCATCTCACCAGCCCCACAATGGTTTATTTTAAAGAGAAGTGCAAGCACTGACAGTATGAATAGCTAGTAAGGTGAGATAAAACAACAAACTCTAAATAGACCTCATTTAAGTAACCAGGCTGTGGAAAGAACTACATAAAGACATTTTTCCAGTCAAAAAGAATTTTGTAATACAGTGAGAGAATAAAAAATAAGTTTAACGATTACTAGTGATCAAATTAGAAAAAGAAAGCCCCCTGGGAGGCAAGGAAATTTGCCCTGAAAGAAAATAAAAATTTAAATACTGCAGACAAGGGAAACAAAGGAGATTCACAACATATGGGAAAAGACATGAATGAAAGATGGTTTTGTCTTATATAAGAAACCTGAGATAAAAATAAATTAAAGGGCAAAATAAAAGACAATAGAAAACATGGAGACAGACTTTTTTCCAAAAGGGAAGGAGACCAAGAGATGGAGGGAAGGGGAGAACAAGGAAGGGAAAAATGATGAATTAAGAAGTTACTCCCCATCATGACTGTAATTGTTGTATGTTGTAAACATGCTCCAAAAATATAAATATCCCTAAAAGTAGACAGTCTAATGGTCAATAAGTGATATACAGGATGTAGGAAGAGCTATGTTGAGCTGGGCAGAGAAACCAATACCTAGCTCAGCACTTTGAATACCAAATAGAGAACTTCATACATCATGTTAAATATTATGATGTAATATTCAACCAAAGATTTTGTTGGTGATGGTAATATGTTTTGTTATTGTTATTGTTTGGCAGAGATTTTTGGGTTGAAATGGGGTTTTCTGTTTGTTTTGTCTTTTTGACACAGGGTTTCACTAGGCACTTTAGGCTGGTCTTGAACTCCTGTGGCCTCAGCCAGCCTCATCTCTGTTGTGATCTTCCTGTGTCAGCCCCCCAAGTACTGGGATAACTAGGCATGCACCATCATGCCTTGGATCATACTAAAGTTTTAAAAATAAATTTTATGTGAAAGATTAGATGTTTTTAAAACCCATCCAAAAAAAAGAGATTATGGGGCTGGGGAGATGGCTCAGTAGAATAAGCGCTTGCCTGGCAAGTGCAAGGGCCTGAGTTCAATCCCCGGTTCCACCAAAAAAATAAAATTAAATTAAAAATAAAAGAGATTACTCGATAGATAACCATTCTATGTATGAATCAACCTTGTGCCTAATGTTGCAGGGCAGCAGTGCCACCACCCCTTGGACAGAACTTTTCATTGGCCAAGAAGCGTGTCAGCTTTCAACAGCAGTGATAAAAGGCTCCCGGACACTTTCATCCTGACTGGGATCCCAGGGCTGGAGCCCTTCCACACGTGGATTGCCATCCCATTCTGTGCCATGTATGTGGTGGCCCTCGTGGGCAATGCTGCCCTCCTCCTTGTCATTGGGACAGACAGTACTCTCCACACACCCATGTATCTCTTCCTTTGCCTTCTCTCATTCACCGACCTGGCCCTCAGCTCTACCACTGTGCCCAAAATGCTCTCCATTTTGTGGCTCCATGCTGGTGAGATTTCCTTTGGTGGATGCCTGACCCAGATGTTCTGTGTCCACTCTATCTATGCCCTGGAGTCCTCAGTTCTTCTTGCTATGGCCTTTGATAGATATGTGGCTATCTGCAACCCACTGAGGTATACAACCATTCTCAGTCACACTATCATAGGCCAAATGGTCTTTGTCGGGATATTCCGTAGTGTGGCTATTGTCTCGCCCTTCATCTTCTTGCTGAGGCGGCTGCCCTACTGTGGTCACCATGTCATGGCGCACACATACTGCGAACATATGGGCATTGCACGGCTGGCCTGTGCCAACATCACTGTCAATGTTGTCTATGGGCTGACTGTGGCTCTGCTGGCCATGGGTTTGGATTCCATCCTTATTGCCATCTCCTATGGCTTCATCCTCCATGCTGTCTTCCATCTTCCATCTCGTGATGCCCAGCACAAGGCTCTCAGTACTTGCGGCTCCCACCTTGGTGTCATTCTGGTTTTTTATATCCCTGCTTTCTTCTCCTTTCTCACCCACCGCTTTGGCCACAACCGAGTTCCCAGACATGTACACATCTTCCTGGCCAATCTCTATGTATTGGTGCCTCCTGTGCTCAACCCTGTCATCTATGGAGCAAGAACCAAGGAGATTAGGAGTCGACTCCTAAGACTACTTCACTTGGGGAAGATCTCAGTGTGAATTCTGAGAAGAGGTTGGAGAGACATAAATAGGTATGACATCCATTTAGATGCATGTACATAGATAGAGAGTTTTGATATGAAAGAATTGGGTTTACATGACTAGAAAGGAGAAGATAAAAGGGAAACTTCTCATCTTCACCTGAACATACTATTTTCCTTAGGCTTTTTGAAGAACTTTGAATAGCCCAGAAAGGTTATTTTTAAAAAAAAATTCTAGTCTCAAAAGTGCTAAGACTTTCTAAGGAACAAGTTAGCTGCTTATCTTAAGTGGATATCATGCTGGACATCATGATAGGAATACTTTTCTGATAGTCTATAGTGGATTGTTAACTAGTGGTCAACTTGTTATACCCAGCCGAATTAAACTACTATGATGCTGGGTATGGGAGGCCCACCTGAGTATTGCTGCCAGCAGCACAAGAGGCAGAACTAGAGAAGTTGTTGAGAGATTGTTAGGGAATCTGTTTAGAGAAGCAGTTAGAGCTACTGGAAGCTGCTGGTTCTCCTGGACTATTTCACTGGAGGACCTTGTCATGCTGGCTTTCCTCATGAACTTTGCTGTTTTTGTCAGAGGAGGAGCTGGGGATTTTGTTGTCACTGAGAATGGCTATGGTTCATTTTGGGGGAGCTCTGGTCTTCCTCCTGAGCATCACTTCCTGGCTCTAGAGGGGAAGATGATACACTGCTCAGCCTCATGGAGAAGCTTATCATGTTGGCTTTCCTGATGGGAACTCAGCTGTCCTCATCACTGCAGGAGCTCAGGACTTCACTGTCACTGAGGATAGCAGTGGTACTTTGGAGGGAGCTCTGGTTTTTACCTTGAGTGTTAGTTCCCAGTTCAGATCCATAATGTATACATTAATAAATGCAGTTCAGATCCCTCAGCCTGCTAGCACAGACCCTTCATCCTGCTGGCATAGACTTTCTAGCTTCCACAACTGACCTTTGGGCCTTCCCAGTGCAGATCTGTGAAATGGGCCTGCATGAGACACTGTTATGGACTCCAGGCCTCCAACTGGACTCATGGGAGGTACTTTTACGAACTCTTGGTTTTCAGCTGAACTCATGCAAAATATTAGGATAAAGACCCTTAGCTGGCTTCTTTGATCTTTAGTGTGTGGACCTATTCCCTGCATCCTTGTATATGATTATGAAATCACCTTATAAAATGTGTCTTGTATTATGTTGTTCCCCTTGAAAAAACTCAAAGGACAACACTGGCCAAGCAGAAAAGAAAATTACACCGGGCAGCAGTTAAGGGCAGGAAGAATAAGTCAGAATGTCTGAGTTTGTGACTTTGAGGTTGTCATTAATTGTTTCTATGCCTTACTCTATCCAAATCTACAAGAGGGAGAATACTAACATCTAATTTATATTGTAATAACAAATGTATACATTAATAAAGGCAGTGAAGACAGTGCAACAATAAATGAGACAGGTATTCTCTTAAAACATCACAAGGCAACTTATCTAAGACTTTTAAGATACTATCTCCCCTCACAGAATTATGTGATAACTATGTTACATTCCCACTGTATAATGTTTAAATGGTTTTTGGTGTATTATTATTAGTGCTTAGTGAAACTGTATTTTCTCATAGTCTTCTTCCAGTCCTTCATTTTAAGGTTCTTTTCATTACATTTTAGCCATAAAATTATATCTTATTAAGGATTCAGGGGCACCAGCTCAGAGACCAAATTCTTGTCTTTTAATATAACTTTTGTGTTTTAGTAATCTCAGTTCCAAAATACACAAATCCACTGATCATCATCCACATTCTTCAAAGGAAAGATTGTTGTTATTTGCATTTTAGATTAAGAGCCTGTAATCCAGAGAAACCCACAGTGTAAGGTTAAGCCTGTCATAATGGCAATATATCACACATTATCTGTCATTTGCCAATGGAAACAATATGAGGTCTGGGTCCAGATAACCATGGCCTTAAATCAGTTTCCTCTTCCATTTCCTGCATGAATTAGGATGTCCTACTTAACCATCTCCAGCATTAGAAAATGCTTGTTATAGTGTTTGAAACAAGGCATTCAACAGAGTTGGGAGTAATTATCAGTATTTAGTTAATAAACCATAAATAATAATCCTTAAATGTATGCCTCAATATTTCTGCATGATTTAAAAGAATCTGTAGTGTTTCTTTCTTGATGGTTATTCTAAAACTTGATCACACATTGAATGGATGCCTTACATATATCAAAAGCACTCAATAAATACTATAAAAATATGAATCATGCTTGTCTATATAATTCTTTTACTGAATTAATACATGAAAGTATTTCATCTATACTGTTGTGATTAATGAAAACATGTCTAATCTGGTGTCTGGCACATAGCAGATATTTATGTACTCGATTCTTATTTGTTTATATCATGTTAAAGCTGTTCAGATGGAAATACCTCAGATGGATTTAAGGAAGAATTTTTAACTCAGAAAAGCAACTATCAGAAATATTATCTCGGGTGGGCGCCTGCCAGGGTTCTTGGCTACGTGTCCCTCGCACTGTCGGGAGAACGGGCAGCCATGGATCAGGTCATGCAGTTTGTGGAGCCGAGTCGGCAGTTCGTGAAGGACTCCATCCGGCTGGTGAAGAGATGCACCAAGCCGGACAGGAAAGAATTCCAGAAGATTGCCATAGCAACAGCAATAGGATTCACTATCATGGGCTTCATCGGCTTCTTTGTGAAGTTGATCCACATCCCCATTAACAACATCATTGTGGGTGGCTGACCACTTTGGAAGAGTGTTTTTCTTCTTGACACCGTAGGGGTGGAGAAGCTCATGAAGTAAAAGTTTGTCTCTGTGCTTTGTGCTTTTGGTTTTTTCTTCCCCCTTTAAAATGTTTTCTATTTGTAAGTTAAAATAATTTCAAATAAATTTCTTTTCCCATCACAAAAAAAAAGAAAAAAGAAATATTATCTCATGGTCTATTGTGGGACAAGAAAAGAAATGCCCCCCCTTGATCTGTAGAGACAAATTCATAACCCAAGAGCAGGCATGGGCCAGGATTGGAGGAACTTGGAAGAGAAAGATGAGAGAGTCGGAGCCCAGATGGAAAGAGAAAGAGCAGAATGATGATACAAAAAAGGAGAGAGGGGGCTTACCACTTAAAGAAGCTGGGTGAGATTCGATTTCTAGGTTTATAGGTATCTCAAAAGCAAGGTGCAGAGCATCTTGGAAATGTGGGCAGCGCTTAGAAATTTTGGAGTCATGGGCAGCCCTTAGAAATTTTCTGAATCAGGGGCTGGTGAGATGACTCAGTGGTCTAAAAGCACCTACTTAGAACAAGCTTAGCAAAGCACAGGGACCGTGGTTCAATCCCCCAGCACCACATGCCAGCCCGCCCCGCCCCCTGGTGGACTGAGCTGGCCACACACACACACACACACACACACACACACACACAAATAAATTTAAAAAAAAAAGAAAAGAAATTTTCTGAATCAATCTATATTAAAGCAGTTACAGATCAATCTCAGTTGTAAGTGAATTCTGAATTAAGGTAGATGGTTAACCAAAGAAGACAAAATTCCCTGACTACCCAGTACACACATCAGCCTTCCCATAGAAGGCACAATATGTTGTTTATGTGTATTCTCAAAGGAAATTCAACCTTTTAGAAGGGTAATTGTTGGAGAAAAGGATGGGAACCAAGGGAAAGAGGAAAGGGAAAGGCAAGGTCATTCACTGGGGAGAAAATGATCCTAGTATGTTATTCTCAGGTATGAAACCACCAACACAGATGTCATTAATCTGTTTAACTCTGCACTAACAAAAGAAAACTTTCACTTTTTTCAGGCTACACAAAAGCCACTCATGTAAGAGTGAGTGCAAATCCCCTAGCCTGCTTGAGAACCTGGCCTTACCGGATGCATAAGAAGCCCTTCTCCCTGGACTCCTTTGAGAACTGTACTCATACTTCAACATGTATAAGCAGTGAAATGCAATCAGCCAAGACTCAGAACCTCACTTTTTTGAATACACTTGTTTCTTTTTGTCTAAGTCTAGCTCTTTGAATTTGTGCTGAGATGAACCTCTGAAATCCATCTTAACCGATTCAGCCCTGACTGAGGCATCAAAGTTTTCCTATCAAGTACTCCCAGTGACATAGCCCATACTGCACCCCACTGCTTTCTAGTCTGCTTGATTCTCTTATAAAACACACATAAGACACATACCCACTCACACACCACCCCCCACACACACACTTTCTTACAAATGTATAATTTGAAAAGAAAAATACACTCTTTTCTCTGATCCCTGAGGAAACTCCCCTTATTATCTCTCTCTTCCTTCCACCCTGCAGTGAGATTATTTTATTTTTGTTTTAATATGGTATCAATGATTCTCAGAAGCAGGGGAAAATTTAGTTTGATCTGTTACAAACAGGTACTATGTTCACTGTGATTTGGGTTCTTCTCTGAGGTTCTCCTCTATGAAATTCCAAGTTTCTGAAGAGTTTGAAAGAATTTGTTCTTCCCTCTTTACCTGATCAAGATAGGATACACTTCCTGATCTCTAAGTTAGAGAAACATTTATTATATTTCAGAAGCAGCATAAGGATAACAGCACAGACTCTGGAATTGAAGAGCTTGGACTCTTGGATCTCGGTCAGTCACCAAGTGTGTGATGCTGGAAAGCCATAGACCTTCTCTCTGCTTGCTTCTTCTGCTTACAACCTTATATAATTTCTCTTACTGCTTACAGAGGTTAATGTAGCTGCTGTCTTGAAAATGTAGAGGAAGATAAAGGGAAAAGAAGGAGGCACCATCTATAGTGCCATCACAGTGGTACTGGTGGAAGTTGCCAATATCAATATGATGTCATGTGTGTCATACCCAAGTAATGTAGGGTCAATAAGTTAAAAAAAAAAACAACTCTGCACAAACACCCATGATAAGGACCACTACAAAATTCCCTGGCAGGCTCATAGGCACACATGCTTGTCTGCAAAACAAGGGCTTTTCATCACCCTGCCTAACTAT